TGGGGTACCCGCTCCCGACTCACGCCCTCCAGTTGGGGTACCCGCTCCCGACTCACGCCCTCCAGTTGGGGTACCCGCTCCCGACTCACGCCCTCATCTCTGCTGTCGCTGTCACTGTCGCTGCTGCTGCTGCTGCAAGGGCCAAGCTTATCATCCTCATCCTCGGGTTCAGGGGCTCCATGTGCACGGAGGAGGCGGGCAAGGATGGGGTTGGGCCGGAGCAGGGCACTGCCAAGTGGCGTGCGGCCCCCATACATGCGGGCGGTGGGGTCAGCACCGGCCTTCAGGAGAAGCTCCAGCACGTTGGCTGCCTGGGCCTCTACTGCCAGGTGCAGAGGGGTCCGGCCACACGTGGGCTCCTGTGGATGTGCCAGAGCAGTCAGTGAGACCGAAGAGGGGACTGTGCCTTCCCCCACACGGGCCTACCACCGTGGCTCACCGGTTTATTGAGGTCAGCTCCAGCATTCCTGAGCAGCCGGACCATCTCCACATCTTTGTGGATGACAGCTACATGGAGTGGGGTGTGGCCTGGGGATAGAGCAATTGGTGTCGGATGAGAGGCTAAGGAGCCTCAGCTTGGTCACGACCCTAAGAAGAGCCATGTGAGCTAAGGACAGCGGGTTTGGAGGCTGGCTGCTGAATTCCACATGCCTAAGGGTCAGCATGCTGGTGGGTGTAAGCCTGATGGTGCAGGGTCTGGGATCTACAAGCCTGGGGACTCTGGATGAGAGCACTTAATCTGTGGACCAACAGAACCAAGTCTTTGGTCTTCCTTCACAAAGAACAGAGGCTGGACTAGGGTGTACAGCTCTTGAGTTCCATCCCCAGCATCATAAAGAAAACAAACAAGGATAATAACAATAGAAGTCCCACAAAGGACCTGGGATACTGGCTACCAGGTAACCTCAGCCCATTTATGCAGAAGCCAGGTTCTTTTCCCACGAGGCCTGAATGAGGAGGGTAACCTCCAGACCCTCTGCCCATGGCTGGGAGCATGGGATGGATCCTCTCATCCTGGGCAGGCTGGGCTAGTGACTTAGACTTGGGAACAGTTCTGGAGGGAAGGCACCTTGCAGATGGGTAGTCCAGGCTCAACCACTGTATCCTGGCATTTCAGGATCTGGGGGTGGCAGGTCTGGACCTCAAGTGGTTTGATAACCAGGGGAAGAGGAGCCCTGTATGTCTAATTCTTAATACCCCTGAGGCGGAATGAAGGTCCTTGGACCCAATGCTGGGATTCCTGGAGTCTGGGGATGATTTTGCTTTTAGGAGCTGGTTTTGCTTTGGGTTTTTTTTTTTTTTTTTGAAACAGAGGCTCACTATGTAGCACAGGCTGAATCTGACCTCATGATGTTTCGACTTCTGGCTTCTATCACCCAAGGGCTGGGATTATAGGCACACATAGCCATGCCCTGAGGTGGGTATTTGTTTGAGACAGGCTTTCCTGAACCTAGACTGGCCTCAAACTAGCTAGATAGCACCAAAGATGACCCTGAACATGCCTAGTTTATGCCGGGGATCAAACCCAGGGCTCCGTGTATGCCAGCTAAGCACTCCATCGATTTAGATATCCGCAGCCAGCAGCTGGGTTTCAAGGTGGGTAAGAGCCAGGAGCTTGGTTCCCTGGCTCTGGCCAGGAGCTCGCGTCCTTCCCTCACCCTCATAGTTTTCAGCTTCTAGCTGCAGCTTCCAGTCTTCATCACTCGGCTCCTCTTCGTTCTCTGGGTTGGGTTGGGGGTTCACAGCAACAGGGGTGTGGCTGGTGTCTGGGGTTTGGTCCTGGTTCTGAGTGAGGTAGATATCTGAGGCATCCCTTGGGCATCTGGGGCGGGGCTGGAGCAGGACGCATGCGCACGTGTGGGCCCTCACCCGGCAGGCCAAGTGCAGCGCGGTGTGGCCCCCTCTCTCAGCCACCAACACTCCTGCGCCAGCTGCATACAACTTCTCTACCGTGGATGCCTCCCCCAGGATGGCTGCTAGGTGCAGGGCTGTCTACAGGGACAGAGGACAGGGGTTAGGGCCATTCTGACAATCCTGGACCCAGCTCCCTCGAGCGACCGTCCCCAGTGGCTTACTTGGCCTAGGTCATTCTGCAGGTCCAGGTACTCAGTGCCGGCGGAGAAGCCCAAGAGGAAATCCAGGAAGGGCTCATGCCGATGTATCACGGCCAAGTGCAGGGCCCTGGGGACAGAAGGCAGAGGTCAATGAACATGGAGTGTCTACTGTGTGCTACAGACTGTGGCCACAGTTGGAAACACTTCAGTGTCCTGGAGAGCCAGGGACAGGAGTTAATCCAGCAACTTTGTTTGTCTGGATGGTTGGTGTTTTGAGATAAGACAAGGGTCTTCATAAATTGCCCAGGCTGACCTTGAGGTCAAGTTCCTCCCGCTTCAGCCTCCTGAGTAGCTGGGCTGGCAAGCCTGTGAAAAGTAGGCCCAGCCACCAACTTGGTTTCACCAGTGTTTATAAGGAACTTAGCCAGCTATAATAGCTCAAATTCCTGCACCTGGGGAAGCTGAGGCAGGAGGATTGTTATTTCAAGCCCAGACTGGGCTCCATGGTGGATTCTAGACCAGCATGGTCAAATACTAAATAGTGAGATTCTGTCACCAAAAATAGGCTGGGCATGGTGGCATTGTGAAAGAGGCAGAGGCAGGTGGATCTCTGTGAATTCCAGGCCAGTCTGGTCCACACGGTGAGTTCCAGGACAGCCAGGGCTACACTGTGAAACCTTGTCTCACATGATAATAATGAAAGTGAGGAGCAATGGAGGTAGACAGTGACCATGGGCCAATGGCTTACACACACACACACACACACACACACACACACACACACACACACACACACACTGGCTCTAATAACAGACCTTCAATTACATAAAGCAAAAGCTAACAGAATGAGAAGCAATAGACAAATCCATAGACTTGGAGATTTCCATAGGTCGCTGTCACTGATTGTTCGAGGAAATGGAAATATCAGCAAAGACAGTAGACTTGAAGAGCAGGTTTGTGGTTCTTGCTGCTTCGTTTTTGCAGCAGTGGCCTGAACCTAAGGCACTGTGCATGCAGGGAAGCACGCTACCACTGAGCTACATCCTCAGCCTTTGTTCCCTTTGTTTTGAGACAGAGCTTTGCCATTAGTGTTCCCCGGGATGGACTTGAATTTACTCTGTTCCTAGGCAGGTCCTGAACTTCAGAATCCTCCTGCCTCAGTCTTCTTTGTAGCTGGAATTACACACTCAGCTTTGAACAACACTGCTAACCAACATTACCTCTAAATCACAGATTATTTATTTATTTAGTGTATGTGTCCCTGAATGTATGGACGTAGATGATATGCACTCAGGAGCTAACAGAGGCCGGAAGAGGGCAGCAGACCCCAGGAACTGGAGTTCTAGGTAGTTATTAGTTGCCATGTGGGTGTGGGAACGGAACCTGGGTGGGTCCTCTAGAAGAGCAGCTATTGCTCTTAACTAGTGAGCCATCTCTCCAATCCCATTTTATATATTCTTTATAAGTGCACAAATAACACATTCTGGGCCAAAAAAAAAAAAAAAAAAAAAGAGAGAGAGAGAGAGAGAGAGAGAAAAAAAAAAAAAAAAAAAAACGAGTCTCAGTAAATCAAAATGAATTCCCATGGGGACACAATTCCTGACAGCACTTGCCTAGCACTCAGGTCTGGGTTTGATGCCCAGCACTGAAAGAGAAAAACTAGAGACTTCAAATCAAGCAAAGAATATTCTCTGCCCACAGTGAAATGAAATTCAAAATTAGCAACAGAAAGACATCTGGAAATTCCTCCAAGGGTGGAAAATGAACATGCTTCTTCATAATCTACTGGCCAAAGGAGAAATCAAAAGAGAAATTAGAAAATATATTCAATTAAGTGAAAACAAAAATACAATATATCAGAAGTTTTCTGGAGGGAATATTTATAGTACTCAATGCACATTAGAAAAGAGAAAGGGGGTCTGGAGAGATAGCTCAGTGGTTAAGAGCACTGGCTGCTCTTCCAGAGGACCCAGGTTCAATTCCCAGCAACCACATGGCCACTCATAACTGTCTATAACTCCAGTTTCAGGGGACCTGACACCCATGGCAAAAAACACCAATGTACATAAAATAGAAATAAATACATTAAAAAAAAAAAAAAGAAAGAAAGAAAGAGGAGAGGTGAGCTGGGGAGTAGCTCCCTTGGTGGGGTGCTTGTTTAATGTTCACAATCAATCCCCAGCAAAGCAGAAGCCAGGCATGCATCACCATGCCTAGAACCCCAGGCAGGAAGAGTTTAAGGCTAGCCCGGCGTGGTGGCGCACGCCTTTAATCCCAGCACTTGGGAGGCAGAGGAAGGCGGATCTCTGTGAGTTCGAGGCCAGCCTGGTCTACTGAGCGAGTTCCAGGACAGGCACCAAACCCTGTCTTGAAAAAACAAAAAAGGAAGGGGGAAAGAGAAAATTACAAAACTTAAATCCAAAGTAATTAGAATAAAATAATAAAGGAACAGGGACCAATAAAATAGAAAGCGAAAAATAAGAAAATTAAGGGAACTACACCTGGTTTTTTAAGATTTGCGTTTATTGTGTTCCCCTCATGGGTCAGACACTGAGTCACTGGGCATACTCAATAAGCACAAAGGACAAAAAAATCCCGGGTACAATCCCTTACATAGACCTTCACCACAGCTGTCCCTTCTCCCCAACTTAGCTACTAGTCAAAATTTCCTGCTTTTAAAAATTATTTTTCAATCTCCCTTTCCTCCTTTTCCAGGTCCTCCCAGGCTGTCCTCAAGACTAGAGATCCTCTTGTCTTGGCCCATTGAGTGCTGGATTACAAACGTAATCACAAACTCAGCTCAAACTAAAAACAGGACTGGAAGGTGGTAGTGTGGGAGAAACATTTGGTTAACAGATTTCCTCATGGAAATGAGATTCTGAATTTTATGTAGCTCTAGCTGGCCCGGAACTCACTCTGTAGACCAGGCTGGCCTTGAACTCACAGAGATCCACCTGCCTCTGCCTCCCGGGGGCTGGGATTAAAGATGTGCGCTACCACCGCCCGGCCTCAATTTCTTAATTGCAGAATTTGGAAGCAAGAGGTCAGCAGGTGTGGGAGCTAGAGTGCTAACAAAGGTTTGGGGACCCGGTCGGAAAGGCTCAGATCCAGTTCGGGGATCAGTAGGTACGATGTGGATTCCAGGAGCAAAAATTTAGAGTTCAAGAGAGGTAAGATTCTTGACTGTGGGTGAAGACAGACTAGTCTTCTCACAACTTAGTATTTGGGAGTTATGGGTCGGGAAGTCCAGCATCGGAAGTCAGCGTTAGGAACGAGAAGAAGCCACAGGAATCAAAGGGTACCCCAGGTAGGATCCCAGGGCTCCGTTTGGTAATTTAAGGTTTACTCACGTGTCCCCATCCTCAGTGACGTAGCCAAAGACCAGGGGCGCCCACGACAGCTCGGGGCCCAGCTCTGCGCCCAGCCCTGGTCCTCCGGGAGCCGCTGCGTCCGGACCTAGAGAGCCTAGGCCGCTGTCGCACCATTCATCGGCGTCCGCAGTTTTCCCCAAGCACGCGACCCCGGCCATGGTCCCAGCCACCTCGGGTGGCCCCCTGTAGTCGCCCGCCTGTCGCTGGGCTCTGCCGTGATCTCCAGTGCTTCCGCCCTGCTGGGAATTCCCCAACACGCCCCCTCTTCCACCCAATCAAAATGCGTTAAATAGCTACATCCCGCCCCTGTGCAGCACCAGAACCAATCAGAATAACGAGGTGGACACCGGCTCGCTGAGTTTCCCCACTTTTTTCCAGACGCCCTTTATCAATATGGCTACAAGCGCCATGCCTTTTGGGATTTGTAGTTCTGTGCCATGAGAGGTGTATTGTACGAAAGCGGTTGCGGGACTGCGTTGGCTGCTGGGAATTGTAGTTCTCTATCCTTTCTCGGTCCCCTCTTGTTTCCGGTGCCGTCACGGGACAGAGCAGTCGGTGACAGCTCCGAGGGCCCCCACCCCGCTCCCATGGCCGAGCCGGACCGTGAGTCGGGGGCCCAGATGGGAGGGTCGGGCCGCGCCGGGGCCTGGCTTTGGGCTGCAGGCCCCGGGGCCCGAGGGCAGGTTCGGTGGGGTGGGAGAAAGGGGCTGCGTGAAGGGAGTGGGATTTGGAGGGCCATTGCTAAGTGGTCGATATTGCTGGGTTGGTGGGTTTCTGGGCTGTGAGATTTTAAGGGTCCGTTTGCCAAGTTCTTAATGATCGCGTTTCTCGCACTTTGGTTGCTGAGGACCCTCGTTGCTAAGGACCAAAGTTGCCACGATCCTGGTTGCTAAGGTTGTCTGGTGTTAGGGGCAACTATGGGATGTTCGGGGACCCCTCCTGCCCCTTTCTATCTCATTCCTTCGGTTCCTGCGCCTCTCCTAAACCTCCCACCTCACTGCATCTCCTCTCCCATACTCAACTCTCAGCAGAAGTATCCCTACTCGTATCCCCTGAAAAACTTCGCCCTCCCTCATGCTCCCCGCTGGCACACACGCTACCATGTCCTGCCTAATTCTGAAGTCTTCCGTCAGTCAGTCCTGTTTCGCCTGCTTTCTCCTCCTAAACGTTCCCCTCCTCGGCCTTTCCACCTCACACAGCCTTCCACTCTGAACTATGCCTTTCCTCATCTCTGACAGTTTTACTACCATCCCTGACTCCAGGATGATTAGGTTGGTGGGTCCTCTTGTTGCCCTCCACCACTGTGAACCCTTCATCCCCTTAACTATTCCCCCCACTGTAACCACGTCTGCTCCCCCTCCTCCCCAGCCTCTGACCCTCTGGAGACCCAGGCAGGGAAGGTGCAGGAGGCTCAGGTGAGATGGGGAAAGAAAGGGTGGAGGGAGGAGAGAGATGGACTTGGTCCACATTCCACGCTGGGGGAGGTGGCAAGGGGAGACTTTTACCCGAGGGCCCTTGGCTTGTGGTCCTGATCCCTAACCCCGTGTGGGGATTAGTACAGCCTCCTGGGGAATGGTGGCTTCTGAGGACTGTCAAGGAAGAAGGAACAGCCTCAACCACCGGTTGGTGGTCCTTCCATGTTGTCCTCTTTGCTGACTGTCACCCACCCCCGTCCTCAATCCCTTCTGAACCTCATTTGTGCTGGGCCTGAATGGGACAGCTTTCCAGTTTGATCCTCAAACTCACAGGTCTCATGGGGTGGGGGACATGACCTTATAGGGTTGATTTTAAAAGGAGCACAGAAGCTGGGTGTGATGTCATACTTCTGTAATCCCAGCGCCCGAGAGGCTGGGGTAGGAAGATGGAGAATGACAGGCAGCTGGGCCATGTAGTGAGGCTCTGTCTAGGGGAGGCACTCCAGGAGTGCACAGAAAACTTTGTGGGAAGAGAAGATTATAGAAGGTTCTAGCCAAACTTTTCCTTGGAGGAACTCACAAGTGGATCTAGGAACAAGACCAAGATATAGTCACAGTGTCATAAGTGAAGTGATTTCGACTTTTTTTTTTTTTTTTTTTTTTGGTTTTTCGAGACAGGGTTTCTCTGCGTAGCTTTGCGCCTTTCCTGGAGCTCACTTGGTAGCCCAGGCTGGCCTCGAACTCACAGAGATCCGCCTGCCTCTGCCTCCCGAGTGCTGGGATTAAAGGCGTGCGCCACCACCGCCCGGCTCGACTTTTCTTAAATAAGACCAGATATGGTGTTTCATGCAGAGTGTGAAGACCTGAAGGGCAAGGAGGAGGAGGAGGAGGAGTAAACGTTTTCAGTAATGGTTGCTGGGGTAGTCCTTTATTGATGTACTTTGTGTGTATTGATGTACTCTGGTGTGCACGACCCCATTTACTCTCTCCAGCGTCCTGGTGAGTGAGCGTCAGGCCCTTCATGGACACTTTACAGATGAGGAACTTGATGCAGTGTCCCTTGGGTAGAGGGACAGGGAAGGGCTTGGAACCTGTAGGGAAAGATGCTGTGAGTCCAGTGGGGAGGTAGATGAACATCTGAAAGATGTTTGAAGACCCTGCCAATGCCTCTAGAACCTCCAGAGGCCGGGTTGTCCTCATGTTCTCAGCCTTCCTAATGCTGCGACTCTTTAATACAGTCTCTCATGCTGTGGTGACCCCCAACTATAAAATTATTTTCGTTGCTACTTTATATCTGTCATTTTGCTACTGTTATGAATTGTAATGTAAATATCTGATATGCAGCATATCTGATATCCGACCCCTGTGGAAGGGTTGTTCAAACCCTGAAGGATCATGACCCATAGGTTGAGAACCATTGTACTAGACAGTGCCTACCACCACTGAATGCCAGCATGCCCATCGATATGAGATCACTCTTCAAAGGGAGACAGGTACAGAAGCTGTAGTCAACAGTACACCCATAAATGCCCAGCAGAGCTGTGCCAACCCTGCTGTGGGTCTCTAGTATCTTTCTTGTCTGGCTTCCAAAATAAGACTTAATGCCAGACCAAAGGTTTCAGTCCGAAGGGGTTCTCAGTGGCAAAGATGATGTGGGGGTGTCAATTGCAGCCTTATCCAGACAGAGCAACACTAGAAATAGCCCCAGTGGCCATGAGGAGAGGGAGTCAATGAACTATGGTTCATCATACAATGTGTTACTATGGAGCCACAATAAAGAATGAGGTGGGGGCTGGAAAGATGGCCCGGTGGCTAAGAATGTATACCGCTGTTCCAGAGGACCTGAGTTCCATTCCAAGAACCCACATCAGGCAACTCACAAGTGACTCCAACTCCAGTTCCAGGGGATCTGACTCAATGAGCACTTGCACACACATGCACAAACATGCACATCTACACAGAATTAAATCTAAAAAAAAGAATAAGGTGGGTCTATGAAACAATGTTTAGTACTGTGCTCTGACATGACCCGTTTCTGTAACATCAATGAGTAAAAACTCATGCAGCACATACAGCTGGAGTTATTTCTATTTAATCATTATTTGATGTTGCTTGGCATTTGTTCATTATGCGAAGTCTCAGGAGGCTGAAAATGCAGGATTATGAGTTGGAAGCCAGCTTGGGTGAGAAAGTAAGACCTGTGTCAAAAAAAAAAAAAAAAGCTTGTATAATCTCTTTTTTAATTTTTAAACTTTGCTTATTTGTTTGTTTGTTTTGTGGGTAGGATGCACATGCCACAGTGATGTGTGGTAATCTGAGGGCATTTGTCCTCTCCTTCCACCATGTGGGACCTGGAATCAAACTCAGATTGTCAGGCTTAGTGGCAAGTACCTTTCCCTGGTGACCCTCTTGCCAGCTTGTGTAATTTTTTTTTTTTGAGACAGGGTTTCTCTGTGTAGCTTTGCGCCTTTCCTGGAACTCACTCTATAGCCCAGACTGGCCTCGAACTCACAGAGATCCGCCTGCCTCTGCCTCCCGAGTGCTGGGATTAAAGGTGTGTACCACCACTGCCCAGCCAGCTTGTGTAATTTTAAAACATCAGGAAAGAATCATTTTAGAATCGGGCATAGTGGTGATACATCCCTATAATTCCAGCACCTAAGAAATAAAAAAAGTAGGTGGGCCAGGAGTTCGGGTCACTCTCAGATACATAACAGATTGGAGCCAACCTGGGCTAGTAGGACCCTGTCTCAAAACAGCAGTAACAACGAAAGAATCTTTTTAAAAACTAATTTGGAGCCGGGCGTCGGTGGCGCACGCCTTTAATCCCAGCACTCGGGAGGCAGAGCCAGGCGGATCTCTGTGAGTTCGAGGCCAGTCTGGGCTACCAAGTGAGCTCCAGGAAAGGCGCAAAGCTACACAGAGAAACCCTGTCTCGAAAAACCAAAAAAAAAAAAAAACTAATTTGGAAAGGAGGTTTGGGAGCAGAATAGGGAAGGGGTGGCCTGAGGGCTTTTGAGCGGTTAGTTGATTGAGTAGGTCAGACCCGGGCCTAGCACCCAGGCTGCATGTATTTAGTGGCAGAAGGTTCTAGAAGTCCTGTTACCTAGGCTGGGCATTAAGTGGTGATCGTAGATAAAGTCCCTACCCTTGGTTTGGCTGATATTATGGCACACGGTAGATGTTTGTGATTCAGGGGGCTTTAAAGAAAAGAGGGGTGGACGGCCCTAAATAGGCTACCATGGGGAATAGGAGGATCAGAGATGGAAACTGAGTCAGGGAAGCCAGAGCAGGACCCCAGGAGAGAGAACAGGCTGAACTAGGTAGAGCTCTGGGGTGGGGCGAGGGGGTCAGTGGAGGGAGATCGGAAGGCTGAGTGGGAACACGAAATTGGCATAAGGGCAGGGAAGGGACCGCATCGGTAGGGAAGTCAACTAAGGGACAGTGAGGCCACTTGGCGTGGGGACTGGGAGCAGGAGCTGGCTCCCGGAGATGCTAAGGCCACTCTGGAACATGGTTGGAGCGAAGTGGGGTCCCCTTGAGAGGCTCACACAGGAGATGCTAAAGCCACTCTGGAACATGGTTGGAGCAAAGTGGGGTCCCCTTGAGAGGCTCACATCTGGGGACAGAGAAGCACCGGCGCCTAGGCTGAAGCATAGCTGTGGCAGCGGCCCAGGGAAGTGGAGAGGAGCAGCCGAGATGCCGAGGGACTCACGCTCAGCCTCACAGCAAACTCTGAGCTGCATGTACAAGTTGAGGCCCACGCGCTCGAGGTCTAGCCCCGGCGGTGGTGGCTGCCTAGTGTTCAGGAAGCCTTGGCTTTGGCCCCTAGTGTCTTGTCAGGCTAGTTAGAATGTCGGACATGAGCTCCAACATGACACCTGTAATCCCAGGATTGGGGAGGTGGAGACAAAAGGATCAGAAGTTCAAGGTCTGTGGACTTCATGGCAACTTTGAGGCCAGCCTGGGCTACATAAAACCCTGTTTCAGAAAGCAAGCTAGGTATGGTGGCACATGCCTTTAATGCAGAAAGAGGCAGAGGCAGGTGGATCTCTGGGAGTTCTGGGTCAGCATGGTCTACATAGCCAGTTCTAGGCCAGCTAGAGAGATCCCATTTCAAAAAAAGATAAGGCCTAGGAAGTCAGTCACATGAGGAGACCTAGGTCCCCTCCCTATAGGCAACCTCTCCTAGAGCCCTCTGCTGGCCCTCTACTCTTCGGGCCACCTCCCAGTCAGAGCCCGACCTCTTTGAACCAGGTGGCACCCCATCCCTTCCCCTCCCTTCCTCCCTAACCCCACTTCTTGGGCTTGGCCACCCCACCTGCCCCTTCCAGGATTCAGACTCGGACACTGAGGGAGGCGCTTCTGGCGGAGCGGCAGAGAGTAAGTGCCTTCCTGGAGGAGGGCGGGGAGGTGATCTGGGTCTGGGACTGGAGGGTAGCTAATAGGAGTGATACCTAAAGCATGTAATAATGGGCTTGGTACTGGAGGCTGCTGGTTGTGGGGGACACTGGGACTTTGCTGGGGGGAGGATTGTAGATTACATGGTTGGGCAAGGCCTGGGGCCCTGTCACTCTGGCACTGTCTCTCTTGTTGTTGGTCAGTGGACTTCCTGCGGAACTTATTCTCCCAGACCCTGGGCCTGGGCTCCCAGAAGGAGCGTCTGCTGGACGAGCTGAGCCTCGAAGGAGTGACCCGCTACATGCAGAGCGAGCGCTGTGAGTCCCCCACTGCCTGGCCACTTCTCCCACCCCTGACCCACAGGGACTGCAGATTTGTCAGGTGTGGGAAGCAAGAAAAACTGCCGAGTATGGAGATACACACCTGTGGTCTCAACTCTGAGCAGGTATAAAAGGATCAGCTTTTCAAGGTTAGCTTCGGCTATATTGTGCATTTGAGGCTAACCTGAGCTACATGACAGCTTTTCTAAAATAAAAAATTGGAGGACGCCCAACTCTTGACATGTAGAGATGGCTTACTAGTTAAGAGCACTGGCTGCTTTCCCAAAAGACCTGGGTGGATTCTCAGGCCCCACCTGGTGGCTCCCACCCATCTGTAACTCCAGTTCCGGGGGATTTGCTTATAGCCACCATGGTGTCGATTATGTACCTGGTACACAAACACTCACGCAGGCCAAACACTCGTACACTTAAAAAGAAACTCAGCTCTTCAGGAAATTTAGGCAAGAGGATCATGGATTTGAGGGCAGCCTGAGCTACATAATAAGAGTGTTGACTGAAAGAAAGAAAGAGAGAGAGAGAGAGAGAGAGAGAGAGAGAGAGAGAGAGAGAGAGAGAAAGAAAGAAAGAAAGAAAGAAAGA